GGCCCCTCCAGGAAGACTTTTCAGCAGAAAGCGGGTTTACAATCTCCAGCCACGTCTTGAATTCGGATCTTGCTGCCGTCTGCAGTGACGCGGCTCAGAGCCGGCCCGCCGGTTCGCTGCGAGGGAGCGGTGTTACTCGAGGCTCAGAAGGAAAACCCGGAGCTTCCTCTTGCCGCCGCGTGGGGACAGGGAGGGGACGGGACAGGGGGAAGGAGCACCAGGGGTTCGTGCCTTCTGCGCCTTCCAAGGGGCACTGAGGAAGGAAGTCGTTGGCAAGGCAGCCGCCAGGGCTTTGCTTTTTGTGTTTGGGTTTCTGAAACTTTCCATGGAAACATTTAATTTCAGGAGAAAACCGGTGTTGTCACTCGAAACCCATGGCTGTGCCAAAAAAGGTGTTTTTGGGGGGAAATGAGACACTTCTGCTTGAGAAAACAAACAAAAGCAGCCCAGCTTGTACTGGCAGCCGGGCTGGGAGCTGGGGAGCGGTAGTGCAGCGGGGACGGCTGTCCATCATCCCAGTCCGTCATCCCAGTCCATCGCGCCCAGGAGAGCATCCCAGTGGTCCCAGCTGGTCTATCTGCAGGGGCTGGCCTGCATTCGCTCCACCCTGCTCCCCAGACCCCTGCTCTGGCCCAGCCCGTGGCAAAGCCCCCCGAAGCCCTCGGGCTCTGTGCATGGGGAAGGGGCTGCACTCCCTGCTGGAACGGGCGTCGCAGCGGAGGAACCTGCTGCACTCCAGCATTTTGCTGGGAAGCAGCGGCTGTTTCAGAGCAAAAGCAGAGTCTCTCTCATGAGACACCCCCCAGGGTGAGTCACGGTCCCCGAGTGAAGGGGAGGAAGCAACCACCTTTAAAAAAGACATCCAGGGTCTGTGGGTAAACACTGCCCAAGGAAGCGACGGGAGAAGGAGGCCTGGGAAACGCCTGGGACACCCGGGTGTGTGTGAACCTGGCTCCGTCCCGCAGGGTGCTTTGTGAAAAACCATGGGGGAAAATCCACATTGGAAGCAAGAAGCTGGAAAATGAGGATTTTCCTGGTTTGGACCCTTTTCCCAGGTGAGTGCCGGGAGCATGGATCCGGCAGTTCCCACCCCACGGGCTCTGGCAGAGCTGCGGAGAGGCTGGGACCGAGCCAGCCCAGGAAGCCCACCGGGGTCATGGCAAGAGCCCAGCTGATAGCGTCCTTGTCTTACAGCCAGTGGATGGCTACAAGGGGTGATCTCTGAGACACGCTTGTATGGCTGTCATACGAACCCTGGTAATGAGGCTTTCTGCTCATTTAATAACACCTACGCTTGATGGGGGCTCTTTTTTTAATGACTGGTGACATCTGATCTCAGCCTCGCTCCCCAGCACAGCGGGCGCACGGACACAGCCTCCCTCGGGACAGGGTACCCCCGAGCATCCCGGGCTCAGATCCCTCCCGGTAGGTGCCTGCAGCACCTCTCCCTGTCCCCCGCAGGCGGCTGGGTGGTGTCGGGCCCTGCGCAGGTGACAGCCAAGCAGGGTGGCTCGCTGGCAGTGTCCTGCAGCTACAAGCCGGGCTACGAGCTCCACCCCAAGTTCTGGTGCCGCTCGGGCTTCTTCTGGTTTTGCTTCACCTGCATCACCCAAACCAACGGCACCAACGGCTCGGAGGCGGCGGTGGCGCAGGGCAGGGCGTCCATCAGGGACAACCACACGGCACACACGTTCACGGTGACGCTGAGCAGTGTCACGCCGGGGGACGCGGGCTGGTACTCCTGCGGGGTGAGGAAGAGCCCGTGGTTCAGCCTGTGGCACAACACCGAGGTGATGGTCTCCGCAGGTA